CTACACCCTCCCTACACCCTAAGCATCCCCAGACCCCAGTTCCCGTAGGCTGAGGCACGGCCACAGCACTCCAAGACGCCTGGATGAAGAAGTTGCTGTTCTCGTGGAAGAGCATGGCATGATGAGCTGATACAGTTCCTTGGCATCGGAGGCTACAGAGTAACGTGGGCCCACGTGGATAGATTGTGGGCTGTCTTGCCCTAGTTCTTTGCAACAGAACCCATAAGCTACAAGCGACAAGGAGCATTTCAGAGGCCGGCCACTAGTAAGTCGCTATAAGCTACACCTGTCCTGAGCAGCGGTGTCTCCTGAAGCCCAAAGCGCCCGAACTTTCAACCACGAGACCATCTTGCAGAAGGACCAGGGTGTTGTCGGACACCCTGCCGATGGTGATTCCAGCTGCGGGTACTGTCACCTGCCAGTGCTGGCCAGTCAAAGGGCACGGCGCACTAATTACGCATCTTCTGAGCCTTATATAGGGCTTTCCGCCTTTCGGCTGAAGGCGTTTGCGCAAGTGCCATGCTAGTCCACATGCACAGGCTGAACGACCAGCTACAAAGAAATCACATCCCACAATGCACGCTGGCATGAAGCAACTGATGTCAATGGAAGCATGTGCAAACTTCCCGGAGGCTGCCATTTTCCATCCCACGACCGCAACGCCAAGGAGCAGGTTGGTACCATGTGCGTGTCAATGGTTCGATACCGGGCTTCGGACTCCCTCTGCCTTGTAGGTCATTGCCCCCGGCCGCCAGCTCTGAGGTCGTGCATGCCGTGTGCAAAGGTGCAGTCAGCACCCCTGAAGCAGCTGCCTTCTCCCATGAACATCCTGCACAGCACCGTCTTGTACTTGGTTGGGTCGTGGTTTTTGGGGTCAGCGCCCCCGCCTCCTCCTCCACCACCACCACCAGCACCCCAAGCTCCCGTGCCTTTACCCCCGCCCATGCTGGACATCATCATCGCCATCATTTGCATCATCATTGCCGGCATGCCCTTGCCACCCCCACCCTTTCCCTTGCCACCGCCCCGCTGTGACCTAGGGGTGGCATAGGTTACCTCCAATGGGTTCGACAAGCCCTGCGGCACATTGGTGTGCACGTGTGTCACGACCCACTTGGCTTCCTCCACAGACTTCATGTCCACAAAGGCTGCACGGGCCTTCTTGCCTGCAGCCACTGGGAGAACCTTCACATCCTTGACGGACCCATACTGGCTGAAGATCTGTTTGACAAGATCGTCCGTGCAATCCACGGGGAGCCCCGTGACGAAAAGCTCCTCGCTGGGGGGCGCGCTGGGCTTCGTTGCAGGAGTGGCCACCGGGGTCCCCGCAGGGCTCGCCATGGCTTGCTGCTACCTACCCACCCCTGAAATCCACCGTTTTTGAAACCCAGGGTGCAGAACAGTGGCGCACACGGGTGGATAAAGAGCTGTCAGGTTTCTCCGGTCATGAACATGGACATGGCAACTCGTGTCGCATGCTGCTATCCTGGTGAGCAGCGGCTTCCGGCGAACAGGGCAGATCGACGCAAAGAGCAAGGGTTTTCAAGCTGCAAACCACCTGGGCATTTCAGTCCACATCTCTGCCGCCCTTTATGGTACATAGGCCCTAAACCCTCTAAACCCTGAACCCTAAACTCTAAACCCTAAACCCTAAACCTGCGCGGTTGGTCACGCACCCTGCCAGCCTTGTGTCCAGCAAACGGCCCTGGGATGGGTGGGTTGCGTGCATTGAGTTTCAGAGGGGCTGCCAAGTTTACGGCTTGCTTGCTTTATGGTTGGTTTAGAGGTTTGAGGTTTAGGGTTTAGGGTTTAGGATTTAGGGTTTAGGGTTTGGAGTTAGCCCCTTCAAGCCCAGCAATGAGCCCATTTTTATGCATGAGCTGGTAACTCTTACACCTGCTTTAGGCTTTAGGGTTTATAAGAGTAAACCCTAAACCCTAAACCCTAAACCCTAAACCCTAAACCCTAGACCCTAAACAGAAGAACAACGACGGCAACACCAAAACAAAAGGACCCGCCTTCGCGCGGCTCGACTGCGCACCCCGAGACTCTAAACCTTCAGGCCCTGAAACCGGAAGCCGGCACCCTGCATCAACTTCGTAGAACCTTCAGGGTTTAGGGTTTAGGGTTTAGGGTTTAGGGTTTAGGGTTTAGGGTTTAGGGTTTACACTATCTTGATTACGACTCTTTTTGGGTATTGTATCAATGAAAAGAACAAAAAACCCCGAAAACTTTGGCCCTTTCCTCTTTCTGCGGAGCGGCCCTCGTAGAACATCACGGACAGCTCCGTACCACGAGGCGAAGGACTCTGCGACAGGACCTTCGGGGTGCAGTGCATAGGGTGATAGAGGGCTGGCTATAAAGCCCGAAAACCCTAAGACCCTAAACCCTAAACCCCAACCCTAAGACCCTAGACCCTAAACCCTTAACCCTAAACCCTAAACCCCACAGCTCACATCTTCAGTGCTGCCTGCATTTCGGTCTCGCCCAGCTTGATCATCAACCCCGGGAATATCTGGAACTGGCCTTGGTGAGAGTTCAGGCTTTGGGGCGAAGTTGCTATCGAATTGGGCTTAGGGTTTTCACAAGGGTTTAGAGTTTAGGGTTTAGGGTTTGGGGTTTCGGGTTTAGGGTTGAGGGTTTGGAAGTTTAGTTGGGGTGGCTATGGTGCTATGAGGCAGTACGTCCCTCCCTGTGCGGCTTTTGACCCGAAAACCTCGGCACAAAGCCCGAAGGGCAAGAGCCCTTGGTTTAAACCCGACACCCTATAGACCCTGAAGTTCGGTCAACCCAAACACTCCCTCTGAAGCCCCTCCCTACCCGGAGATATCAGCACCCCGTTGACTTGGGATCCCGATACCCCAATAAACTGCACCAGGATTCTGAATTCAGGCACCTACCGATAAAGAGGCATCGGGCTAGATCAGCCGAGCGTCACTGGGGTCGGAGGTAGAAGAATGTCCCGGTGGTAGAGCCCAAATCTTTGATGCAGAACTCTCCATCCAAGAACCTCGGGCGTGCCTATGGCATTTGTTGGTTTGGGGCTGAAAAAGATGCGGGGCTTCTGGGCTTGCGGAACCCTTCGCCCTTTTGAGCCCTAAACCCTACATCCCAAAGAAACCGAATTCTCGAGAAAAAATCTGAGATTTTCCCAAAAAGGGGATACCCCGAACTACCCTATTCTTATGGGAACCTCCTAAATCCCTTAAGCCCTCTACACCCTAAACTCCTTAACCTCATGAGCCCCAACAAACCCCAACATACCCTAACTCCGAGACCGCCTAAATTTGTTCGGCAGCCCCCCGGATGGTCAGCTCTTGGTTGCCCCAGCTCTCGATCACAGTTGGACAAGGGCTTCGCGAACTTCTGAGCTCTGTCTGCCTAACTTTCTTGTCAACCTTTAACAATGTTTGGGGTTTGGGCGAACTCTGTGGTCCCTCATACCCCATCTTTGCTCACTCTTCTCGGTTTTCGCGGCTGGCTTAGCGCTGGCTCTTTTGCATGAAGGCTCTCCTACCTCCATGCCCATGCCAGTACACTCCAGAAAGTTGGAACACGGTTTAGGGATGGTGAGAGCCGGGAAACCCTTGAGTATACCTTTTTGGGGTATAGGGATAAGGATGTTCCAACTTTTTGGAGTTTACTGTAACAAAAGAGGTATCTCAAGCTCAGCAGCTGGATTTCGCAATGAAATCTGCTGATTCCCGCTTCGGGAATGACCTGTCAGCTTGAGCGACATCAAAGGAGCTCATGGAGCATGGGAGCTTGGGTTCTGTGCTGGGATGCTCCCCCCTTTATACTGACAGCTCTTGAATAGGGATTGGAGTACCCCCTACTAAGGACCCTGAACCCTAAACCCTAAACCACGGCTGGAGCCCTTCGATGGTGGTTTAGGAGCAGTGTAGGATTTTAGGTACTTCTAGAGATGACTTCGAGCAGGTCCTTCTCCCTGAGGGACTGACTGCCAATACTCGCAGTTCGCCGTGGTGTGCTGAAGTCTAGTTACGGTAGGGTTAAAAAACCCCAAACCCTAAACCCTAAACCCAAAAACCAAAACCCTAAATAGAGGCTTTAGGGCTAGGATGTTTAGGGTTTCGGATTTTGGGTGTGGGAGTTCGGCTTGGACTTGCCTGTGACCTAAACCCTAAACCCTAAACCCTAAACCCTAAACCTTTGACAAACACTCTGTGCCATCTTCGGGCCCGTGCTGCGCAGAGGCAAACCAGACACCATGCCCCAAAACAAAAGACAAGGGTTTCTAAGGATCAGAAGCCCTTGGTATGTTTAGGGTTTAGGGTTTAGGGTTGAGGGTTCAGGGTTTAGGGTTTAGGGTTTAGGGTTCAGGGTTCAGGGTTTAGGGTTTAGGGACCTGTTCTGACCCCTCCTTAGGACTACAGGATAACTAGTTCCAAAACCCATTGCGGGGCTTAGGAAAATAAGGCACCCCTGAGATAGACCCCCCAAGTAGTAGGATTCCCTTACAACAAGGACCCCAAGAAGGTACTCCGAATGTCGGAAACCCCCACATCCTAACCCTAGCCCCTAACCCCTAACCCCTAACCCCTAAACCCTAGACCCTATACCCCAAGCCTGAGGCCCCTGCGAGGGTATTGGACGTGTGGCGCCCCAGGCGAGCGCCCTCCTCGCCCACTGTGACGGTCAAACCCTCCAGCCTGAGAGCTCTACTTGCTACTCGAGAGTCAGGGTTTAGGGTTTAGGGTTTAGGGTTATAGGGTTATAGGGTTATAGGGTTTAGGGTTTAGGGTTTAGGGTTTAGGGTTTAGGGTTAGTGTTCAGGGTTTAGGGTTTTGGGTTTCCCTTAAGAGCCCCAAACCTATTCTTGTAGGGGTTTACAAGGCCCCGTAAGTACACGATGCGCAGGTCACCTACAAAAACAATCTGTGCTTGAGGCAACGTTGGGGGCTTAGGGTCACATCCCAAAAGCCCGAGCCAACAACACACAAGCCCCTAAACCGCCAAATCTGCCAAGCCGCCCCCCCTCCAGACCCCAGACCCTCAACCCCTACACCCTAAGGCAAGGCCCGAACCATAGTCCGAATTATGATAGGTTTAGGGTTTAGGGTTTAGGGTTTAGGGTTTAGGGTTTAGGGTTTAGGGTTTAGGGTTTAGGGTTTAGGGTTTAGGGTTTAGGGTTTAGGGTGTAGGGATACTCTATACCCCCCTCCTGGGACAGCCGCCCAAATTCAGAACAGCCAGAGGGCGGGCCATCCGTGATCTGAAGCTCGAGAGTCGCTCCACCTGCACAGCATGAATTCTGAGAGGAGGTGACCCTAAACCCTAAACCCTAAACCCTAAACCCTAAACCCTAAACCTTAAGCCCTAAACCCTAAACCCTAAATCCTAAACCCTAAACCCTAGATGTGACCCCTCAAAGGCCATCAGGGTGTCAGTGTGGGGTTCAGGGTTCAGGGTTCAGGGTTCGGGGTTTAGGGTTTAAGGTTTAGGGTTTAAGGTTTAGGGTTTAAGGTTTAGGGTTTAGGGTCTGGGCTCTGGGCTCAAAAGGGCTTAGGGTTAAGGGTCTCGGGGGGCCAAGAGGCCTGAGCCCTCCAGCGTCCAAAGGTTGGGAGCTGCAGGCAACTCAAGGGAATCGGAACGGGACCGCAAAACACCAAAAAAAAGCGAACCGAAAGCACAGGAAGCCGAACCGTGGGAGCGTATACAAAAAAGCTTAGTTCAGGGTTTTGTTTGAGGCTTAGCGGGGACAGGGCGACTGGAACCTCAGAGGGTTGAGGCGTTTCCTCTCTCCGCTGTTAGGGAAAATGAGCTGGCTGCTGAAGGCAAATCCGAAGGCGATCGACAAGGCGACCAGCAGGAAACGAAGGCAGAGGTACATGAAACACAAGGAGAAAGTCAAATAAAGGCAACATAGAGGTACTACCAAACCAACACCGCCAGGGCCTACCGCAACCACCCCCTGCCCCTCCTTCCCCTCCCCCCCCTCTTGCCAGGGGGCCTCCTAGACCCGAACCTTCCACCGCGTCTTCGGCAGGGAAGTTCCTTGCAAACGGTTTACGGGGGTTTGGGGCTGATGAGGGCTTCGGGGATTGGGGTTCGGGATTTCAGGTCGGTGTGAGGAAGTTGAACAAAGATGCCTTTCCCTAACAGATAAGGTGGCAAAGCGGGATGGGGACCTAGGGGGCTCGACAGTGGTATGCGCCGAAACCAGGCACCTGACTGAACACATCCGCTTGGTAGCCCAGTCAGCATATTCTAACAAGGGCACCCTTTGTTGGGGTAGTTCCTTGATAAGGGAACCTAGCCCAAAAAAAAGGGAAAAGGGTACCACTGAGCGTACCAAGTCCGAGTTGCAGGGCATCTGCGCCAGCAGTTGCAGGAACCTGTGGCATTGGCTTGCACGGTGCGTCGCCCGCGTCCTACACGTTGGGGCCACACGGAGCCCTTGAACTCCTAAAGCATTCTATCCAAAACCAAGAGCCTCCAGAACCACTGAACAAACCTCTGGTATTCTTGGCCCTCCTCCAGAGGAAGCTGCTCTCAATGTCACCTATGTATAACCTGGTTGACAGCATAGATGTGGACTATATTTTATCCGCTACATTTGGCTTACAGAGCGCTTTTTGAGCATACCTGTCCATGCAGTGAGAAACGGTGAGAGCCCCCAGCTTTTCCCAAAGCTGCCTTCAACGGGCCTTTCTTCCCTGCATTTAAAAAAAAGGCTTCCCAACATGTAACCTCGGTCTCTCGTTTTGGGGGGTGTACAGGTTAGGACCAAAAGGGTCCATGTAACTTGTCATTATGTACTTGGGCCCCAAAATCCCTAGGGATTACTTCTAAGGCCAAGGTCTTCCCTATTTCGGTACATGGACCCTTAGGGGGAGGACCCCAGCCCATCCAGAAGCAGCTCCAACCCTTTGAACCCCATTGAATGCCTAAAATCCTTAAATGCCTATACACCCTAAAACCCTAAATCCCTGAATCCCTAAATCCCTAACAGATCCCGAACCCCTAAACACACCCCCCCCCCCCCTCCCGCACCCTGAATCCCTAAACAAACCCGAAATCCGGAAATCTCTAAACCCCAATCCCTCAAGCTCTAGACCCTAAATTCCCAGATCCCTCAACCCTAATAAATCCACAAAGCCCAAGAACATCCCTAAACCCCCCCTCAATACCCCAAAACCGCCTGACGCGTGTTGCTGTTTGACAAGACCTTAAACCCTAAATTTACTACCTGATCTCGACTCTGGTTTCATCCCTAAGAAGCGCCCCCCTCCAACCCCCCAAGGCCCTCAGCCTAAAGCATCCTACCAGCCTCAACCCTGAGCGCCCTAAGCCCTAAGCCCTAAGCCCTAAGCCCTAAGCCCTAAACCCTAAACCCTTAACCCTTAACCCTAAACCTAACTGCATGCCCAGCGGCCTCTGCGCTGACGGAGGGAATCGAACCTGGAGCATCTGATGAGAAATGAGAGCCGGTTTACAATTCAGGGCCTGGCGTTTCGGGTGTGTCGGCAGGTTTTG